CAGAAGTTGCTATACTGTCATTAGGCCATGATGTACGATGGTCAGAACTGCCAGCAAGCGAAAACCTGTCTCCATGCTTATTATTGTCCAACAACTTCACGATAAAAGGATAAATTTTCCGACGTTTTTGCCGTTCACTTGGATTTTTCCATGTAGTCGAGTTCCTTTCGGAATCGTATTGGTGTGTTGAATGCACGTGTGGCTTATACAGTGTAGCGCGTTGACCACCTAATGTACAGGTGAGTGCTTTCATCCTCCTAGACGAGTCCGAGCCAATACTCCGACCCCAAGGGAAAGAAAAGCCAGGTTGGTCTTGGCAAATGTCGAGTCGGAGTACGATCCCCAAGCTGTCCGTGAGGGTGGTGCGCCTTTTACGGCAACACACCATCTCCGTTCTACTTTACGATATCATTGTTCGAGATCAAATAGGAGAAAAGTTGATGTCCTACTTTTTCTGTAGCTATTTCTTGAAAATTCTTGGGGGAGCAACCCTTTCATAGATCACCAATATTGGATTTTCAGAGAAAAGTAAACTTTTTAACTTAATATTTTGAAAATTCACCAGTAGACCACGTAGAGACGATAGGAAAAAAAAGGAAACGAAAGAAGTCAGTTCACCTAGCCTCTCTGCCTATCCTTTTTCGTCACGCCCGAACCCACAACCCCATAGGTCTACGTTTCTTTCAGTTTTAATCGAAGTCTTGGTCACCACATAACCGTTCCGTACGGTCAAGCCGTTACCTTGCAGGTTCCCATTTCTTACGGCGTGTTAAAGAAGTTGAGAAAATGAACTTTTCGCTCAATAACTTGTCGTTGGAAATGTTCAGATGCGATCAACACGAAGAGAAATTCTATACGATTTATTAGAATCTAGAGAGCTGATTTTCAAGAGCTCAAGGCTCTTTGAAGGAACTCCTCCATCGCTGTATTACACATCGATCCAAACTACCATAGAAAAATTTAATGATAAAAAATGCGATGACGAAATAAAGCGCAGCGATCTGAAAAACAAATGAGTGGTCACGCTGCAGTACCCTCAAATATCAGGCTTAATCCTTGAGTCCTATATGATCCTGAAGGGAATCACTAATATCTGTGCTCAACAAACCTGCAACGGCCGAAGAAACATCACATGATAAGAAACTATTGACACAACAAACATCCAAAACCAGAAACAAAATCGCTTAATGAATCCAAGCATAGGAGGTTCGCTGGTCTAAAAGAAAGTGGTTGAGGATAAAAGGCCACATACATCACATCTTGAACTACACAAAAGCTTACGTTTTTCCAGACCATTTGACTCTTTTCCATCGGAAATCGTCTATTGTAAGGCTTTGGTTCCGAGTAATACTGCTCCAGTGTAGCCTCCTTCTGGAGCCATCGCCTACAATTCAACAAAATATGTATGATCGTTTAGGGATGGAATGATCCTGCGAAGACGACTTACTCATTTAACCAACGACCACATTCTGCTTCATTTCGTGGCACTTCAGCCACGGGAATCTTTTTCACATGGAAATGTACTTCACGTGGGCATGAGCCTTTAAGGACGAGATCAACCTAAAGGATAGATACGGTGATTACGGTGATTACGTGAACGAAAAAAGACCAGGAATTTTTTGGGAGTTCCCGATTTCTTCGTTTTTTTCTA